CATCAAACGAGTGTCGATTAGGTATATATAACACACGCAGTAACATGCACGGACTAGCCTAAATGCGACACATCACGCCGTGACTTGGAAAATTAACTGAGAAGACCTAGGCTTTAATGTCAATTGTTGCAAATTCTATAGACCTTGTGCCTTTTATTGTGATATTTCAGGCGGATGTTAGTCAAACACAACTAAATATAAATAAACATTCACTTCCTACTGAGACTAACATGTTATGCATTAAGTAAAGCATTTTTAAGAAGCAAAGGGAAAGCACAAAACAAACAATAACAAAAAAAACAAAAAAAATTGCTTGGAACTAATTATTGCTTTGGATTGTACACCTTTTTATTGTTCATTGTAAAATTTTAGGTGGACATCGATCGGTTTAACTCAAAACAAGATATATCATTTTATCAATACTGATTACACGTACAAAAAATAAGCAAAGTAAAAAGCTTAAGCAAAAAAGAAACCAATGAAGAAAATGAACTAAAAGTTACTTCTCTCGTAGAAATATCGACTACACGTTTGTGATTCAAGTAAATCACTGGTACTTCTATGACTGTTCAGGTAGTGATAATATAATACTATTTTACTATTTAAACTCAATGAACTTTTCGTCAAAGTGGAAATTTCACATCTTTCATATCATAATGTTAGTGGTCCTGTATTTACGATTCCTGTTAAAAATGTGAACATCCTCACTTTTTTTTTCTTTGTCTATGTGATTGTACATAACAGTGACAGAGCATACTTGTATTTAGGCCTATCACTTGGAATCACATCTGAACTTTATGCCAGTTATGGCGCGCCCAAGTGGTACTTCTGCGTAGGCCTACTCAAGGTACGATCGATCTCCGGTAAATTGAAAAATTCCAATAATCAATTATCGGCATATACGTCATCACGATGACACACTGTTTGTCAATGTCAACACGCCGTGAATAAGGAAATGCCTCTTAGACGTAGGCCTAATTAGGCATGTCGTAAACTTGTCGAGTGCCTTTTCCGTGAAACTAAGTCACACTGTTTGAAATTTGATTTAACTTGTCACGAGTTTAATTGTTTACTTACTAATTTTGGAATTTTTTTTTTAGTGACACACTTCTTTTTGTTTTTTTTTTGTTTTTTTTTTGTTTTTTTTTTTAAGAACTACTGAAATTTTGCTTAGGCTCAGTGTTATTATTTTTTGCCAATTTCAGTCTTAAAGTGCTCTTATTTTGTTCGTATTATACATACTTCAAAGATAGAAAATTATATATTCTATAGGCCTAGCAGTATATTACTGTACTGAATAACCACTTTTAAGTTTAAAAATATCTTCATAACGTCATTGTGCCTGATATCACCAACGCCATTTTCTAATTGTTCTAGTTCTATATAAAATTTCGGAAAATTATGAAGTTAAAAATAGCCCTAATTACCTTAATTAATTACTTTTGTAATTAAAAGCTGTGATACCCTTGAGTAAGAGCGCATATAAAATGACTTATCATCATCAGACGGTTAAATTAATTACTGTAATTGAATAACACTTAATAAATTATAGATCAATGTATTTTTTTCTGAACTGTCATTTGGAAGTAAAAACTCCGATAATCTGTTTGATTGACAAGGCGTTGGCCTATGCCTACGTCGGCCGCGGTCATACTGATTTAAACGATCTTTTCTTGGAATACACCGCTCCAATGTACCGGTAGTTATTGAGTAGGAGCGAAAGACGTTTAGCAATCTGTTTCAGGCTGTATTATAATATGTACCGTATTTTACTCTGTATGTACTTTTTTTTGGGGGGGGGGGGGGGGGGGGGGGGCGGCTGGAGTACTCTTATTTATGTGCATGGACTTGGAAATTCCAAAGTCAGTGATGAGTTGGATGGAATATAAACTCAATCAATTTCAGTTTAAATTTACTTATCGTTTATACAAACCTCGTATAGCAGAAGGCCGACGAACTATGTTCTCTGCAAAAAAGAAGACGTTCATTTACAAATTATGCAAAAAATATAGCCTAGAGTAGGCCTATGCATTTTACTACATAAAGTTTATGTAGGCGTATAAAAGATAAAATAAATGAGATGATAATAAACAGAATCATAACACATTTTGGTAGAGTAAATGAAAATATACCTACCTATCGTAAAACCTCGAATTAAAGCCATGGGCTTCTTTATTTTTTGCAAACTTTGGATGGGTTTCTTTCCGATACTTTGCAACAAATGAATGCTGTAAATTTTGGGAATTAGTACTACTGTATAAAACAGTAAATAGGGCCACTGTAACATCAATCTGTATCTTGGAAGTGTATTAACCGGT